CCTTGTTTGAGCCCTAATGTAATAGAAAGTCATTTTCTGGTCTGTTGTCAGAGGCCTTTTAATGGCAACTGCAGTTAGAGTAATGTAAGTCTTCGTAAAGCGTGTGCAGAAGGTAAAGATGGTTACTATCATTGTTGTTGCTGTTATTTTATCATCGCCATTACACTATCTGTTTTTATAATTGTCTTTACTGTCTTATTCATCTATTGTAATTTTTGTTATTCATTAACATCCTAATAATTAGAACTGTTAGTGTCATTCTTTTTATTGTGATTATTGTTACTGTAAAAGTTATAATTTTTTTATAATCGTATTATTTTTTTCACTACTATTATCATTATTATTATTATTATTTTTTTTTTTTTGTCTTTTTCACCATCGTGAAATCATTAAAATGTTGCTCTTCTATCATTACTATCAATATCTAGACTTGCTGCTTTGTTATTACTTACAATCCTTATTATTAACAACTTTTATGAGACTATAAATCAGTATTATTCAAAGCATTTTTCCATATCTAAAATGTTTATAAATACTGAATTATAAACACTTAAAATTAAAAAATCATTATAGATTTTAAAAATATGAAAACTAAAGTAAAAGCTAATTCTTCTTGTATATTTTTTGGGTTGGAGAAAAAGAAACTCATTCAGCATGTTTATTGATGAAAATTTACTAAGGTGATCCACTATCTTTCAGGTTTTTTTCTTCATATTTTCTTTTCAATCATCTTCCACATATTTCTGTATCAAATTTAGAGACAAAAGCCACCGTCAATTGTAAAAACATTGCCAGTGTGGTAGGAGGCCTAGAAAAATGAAAAATAAGATTATTAATACTATGATCAACTAATTACCACACACACACATACACACACCATGAAGGCTTTCAATCTATAGCCTAATAGTCAGAGAGAGCCATAGTGAGTACAAAAGGTCTGACATCTGGGTAGAACACCTAAGGGGCCATGGATCCCTAAACGGCCATTCTTAAGTGAACACGTGGGTTTGGCCACTTAAGAACGACCTAATTAATGCTAATTATCACTTTTAATCAGCATGTTGAGTACATCAGTGAAACCTTTACAAAATATACTTTATGGCATGCTGATATCATATTGGTAATTCTTAAGTGTCGGTTTTGTGGGAAAAGCCACTTAAGAAGAGGTCAAAGGTAGTGACCCGCCCAAATTCCGTCTTCCGGTACCTTTAATATGACTGCTACTCCCTTACTATTTGGAGTACTGGGTTAAGATTGGATTTCAAATGTAGATTTTAATGGGAGGAATAAGGATCACTTGTTTAATCATCCATTCTCGGGTACCGTTATTACACACAAAAAAGTGAAAAAACGGGTACCCTTTTTACTCCCACTGGCTTTAAAGTTTTATCAGTATGGTTGAGTACATCCATGAAATCTACACCAAAATGTTCCTCTACCAATACATAATAAGAATCAATCATTCTTAAGTGTCAAAATTTTGGACAAATCCACTTAAGAACAACGGACAGGTCAAAGTGTACTCATTGATCCAATCAAAGGTTTCAATCATCATGCGGAGTACAATAAAACTTGCAAGATATGTTCCCCGAGACATCCTGACAGCATCCAAGCCTTTCTATCTCCATGCTGAATATGACAACTTAAGAACACTTAAAATCGGGCATAGTAGTGACCCCCAATTGTAAAGTATCATTTGACATGCCTGTGTGGCGGTAATAACCAATAACGAAATGGAAATAAATAAATGTTATTTAATACAAAAAATATATGAAAACACTATAATGGTACATAAAAGCATAAAATGTAATAGATTTCATGCTGAACTGTGGTACTAACGATGATTATTGACTGTACGCAGATAATCACAACTTAAAACTTGGATGGATTCATGGCAAAATATTAGTGCTCCATGTTATTTAATGTTATACATATGAAATATTTTTGCTGCTCACATGGTCTATTATGGTTTGATATGCCGTTTTGTATTTTTTTACTTATAATTACACGCTGGAAAAACTAGGGGTTAAATTGAGACGATGATGCATTTCTTCAACTGTCTATTTCTCATCATCCGACAGCTCATTTTCTTCGTCCGAGGATGCTCCCTCCATCTTTTCCTCATCTTTATCACCATCGTCATTCATTTCACCTTCGTCTGGGACAAGGGACTCGGGTAGCTGAGGGCCATCAAACCATACAGGTAGATACAACCTGTCTTTAAACTCCCATCCATCACTTTTCTTCGGGTGCTGAACAATCTCCCATCTATTGGCCTTTGACCACATCTTGGCAACAAACAATGCTCTCTGAATGTGGGTGATAACTTCTGCCTCACAAGGTGGTATCAAACTTCCATCCAGGCCTTTCAGTTTTGCTAATGGGTTTTGGCCTGTAGCTTTCCTTCCCGAATGACAGTGATATTGCTGAAATTTCAATGAACCTGTGGCTATTCTTGGCAGCCGATGAGGAGAAATAGACAGTTGAAGAAATGCATCATCGTCTCAATTTAACCCCTAGTTTTTCCAGCGTGTAATTATAAGTAAAAAAAATACAAAAAGGCATATCAAACCATAATAGACCATGTGAGCAGCAAAAACATTTCATATGTATAACTGATTAATTAACATGGAGTGCTAATATTTTGCCATGAATCCATCCAAGTTTTAAGTTGTGATTATCTACGTACAGTCAATAATCATCGTTAGTACCACAGTTCAGCATGAAATCTATTACATTTTATGTTTTTATGTACCATTATAGTGTGTTTTCATATATTTTTTGTATTAAATAACATTTGTTTATTTCCATTTCGTTATTGGTTATTACCGCCACACAGGCATGTCAAATGATACTTTACAATTGGGGGTCACTACTATGCCCGATTTAAAGTGTTCTTAAGTTGTCATATTCAGCATGGAGATACTTAAGAAAGGCTTGGATGCTGTCAAGATGTCTCGGGGAACATATCTTGCAAGTTTTATTGATGTACTCCGCATGATGATTGAAACCTTTGGTTGGGTCAACGAGTGCACTTTGACCTGTCCGTTGTTCTTAAGTGGATTTGTCCAAAATTTTGACACTTAAGAATGATTCATTCTTATTATGTGTTGGTAGAGGAACATTTTGGTGTAGGTTTCATGGATGTACTCAACCATGCTGATAAAACTTTAAAGCCAGTGGGAGTAAAAAGGGTACCCGTTTTTTCACCTTTTTTTGTGTGTAATAACGGTACCCGAGAATGGATGATTAAACAAGTGATCCTTATTCCTCCCATTAAAATCTACATTTGAAGTCCAATCTTAACCCAGTACTCCAAATAGTAAGGGAGTAGCAGTCATTTTAAAGGTACCGGAAGACGGAATTTGGGCGGGTCACTACCTTTGACCTCTTCTTAAGTGGCTTTTCCCACAACACCGACACTTAAGAATTACCAATATGATATCAGCATGCCATAAAGTATATTCTGTAAAGGTTTCACTGATGTACTCAACATGCTGATTAAAAGTGATAATTAGCATTAATTAGGTCGTTCTTAAGTGGCCAAACCCACAACGTGTTCACTTAAGAATGGCCGTTTAGGGATCCATGGCCCCTTTGGTGTTCTACCCAGGTGTCAAACCTTTTGTACTCGCTATGCTGATTAAATCTCTCTGGGCTCTCTGACTATAACCCTATACACAGAGCATAGACAAAATATATATATATATATTCTACAGATGTCCACAGTGCAATGCATTCATATCTTCAACAGCCATAGCAACAAAACGAGTATTAAAATCAATATCAATAGACAGACAAACTGTTTCAGAACTTGGAAAAAAAAGCCAAAAGCTAATCAATCACCTCGTCAGACGCCAAGTAGACGCAAAGGTTGGCAACCTCTTCCGGTGTTGCCAAACGTCCCATCAATTTCCCTTCGATGTACTCGATGTGGTCCTGAGAGATGAAGGGATTTATATCTGTCGTTATATATTTCTGTTAGTTTGATTGCTGTTTGTCTTTTTTTTATCATTTATCTGTAGGTTTTGGTTTCTCTCTCTCTCTCTCTCTCTCTCTCTCTCTCTCTCTCTTCTCTCTCTCCTCTCTCTCTCTCTCTCTCTCTCTCCCTTACTAAATATGAATCCAATCACCCGAACTGCACCCACATCCAATCCTCTCGCCTAAATACGCTCATAATCCCCTCAGTTAAATATGCCCAATGAACTCATTCACCTAAATTCACCCAAATTACGTAAACGGGATACGCCCACTTAGATAAACTCACCCGGATACACTTTATATAATATACTCATCACCTAAATATACTCATTCGAAGTCACTCATCCGAATTCGCTCCATTTTGAACTCCAACTGACTCACCTTGTCCGAATCCTCTAAGTCTTGGCAACGTTCCTTATAACTTTCCGTGGCTACCGGAGCTGGACAAACCACATTGCATCTGAAAAAAAGTAAAGTGGGTTATGATATAGAAAAATCCTCTTTTGTGTTGTTATTTTGTATCTATTTACTTATGCGTTGCTTATTTAACCATCAGGTTTATCTCTTTCATATAGAATTTATACATTCCTTTAGTGCTATATGACCTTAGATGTCTAGCACATTTGTTTCGCTTTTAACAATTAACCATTTCATATAAAAACATCAGAGGGAATTATCTAAACGAAAGACATAAATATCAAATTGCTAAACAAGTGAAATTTAACAATAAAATCTCTTGTAGGCCCATATTGCTGGCACACACGATTGAAAATTAAAATTCTTTCCTTACCATTAGGCCTAAAAGCTCCACAATCTACCGACAAAACACTCCAAACAGATAACCTTAAGTACTGATCACGGGATCTAAGTGCTCGTTCCAAGTCTCTCCTGTTGCGAGCGCCAGAAGCAAGCGAGGCACATTTACTCTTTGGAAATGCTGTCCCTTAAATACGCACTCACGCATGCACGCACACACAAACACACATCATGCATATCTACCTAACTCTCTCTCTCTCTCTCTCTCTCTCTCTCTCTCTCTCTCTCTCTCTCTCTCTCTCTCTCTTCTCTATATATATATATATATATATTATATATATATATATATACACACACACACACACACACACACACACACACACACACACACACACACACACACACACACACATATAATATATATATATATATATATATATATATATATACATTACATACATACATATATAACATCCTATGTAAGTAAGCAAATACTTAACATTACCTCACTCCGTTGCGTACACAATCTCTGGCGACCCCTTTAGTTAGGCCTATAACAGCCGCTTTCGTTGCACCGTATACTGTCCTCTGTTCAATGCCTCTTAATGTACTGGCGGCCGATGACATGTTGATGATTGAACCTCTGTGCTTTTCGAGCATCTGTTGGGTTCAGTCAAGGGGTTCAGTGAGTCGGTTTCATTTCTTAACGGCTTGGGTTCAAGGGATCGTTCGGGTAAAACGATTGGGGCGGGGGATTAAATATTTAGATATATGGAAGATATAGGAGGATGAAGCAAAAAGTGGTTATATCAAGGAATCAATCTACGAGTAAAGATCATTAGAGAAGAGAATTTATTAATAAGTAATAAATAGGCACCCGAATTTTTGAAACATGCACGAAACTAAGGATTGTGACGATAAAGATCTGACAATTAAAGTACACATGTAACGTATACAGCACCATCTATCGAAAACCAAATGACGTTATATAAAAATCGTTGAATAATACTCTCCATAAATCTAGAGCTTACCGTAGGAAGGAAAGCTTGGATGAAGTGGTACATGCTCTTCACATTGACATCAAAACTGAAGTCCCATTGCTCTTCGGTGGTGGAGAGAATGCAGCCCTGATGGACGTACCTGTGGGATGTAAATGTTTTTTTTTTTTTTTTTTTTTATACTCATGCTCCCTCTGCCTCTGTCTGTCCGCCCGTCATTTAGTTTCTCTCTCATCCTTTTCCTCTTTATCTTTCTTTTTTTCGTTCGTTCGTTCGTTTTCTCTCTGTATCTGTCTCTCTCTCTCTCTCTCTCTCTCTCTCTCTCTCTCTCTCTCTCTCTCTCTCTCTCTCTCTCTCTCTCTCTTCTCCTCTCTCTCCTCTCTCTCTTCCCTCTTCCCTCTTCTCTACCTCTTCCCTCTACCCTCTACCCTCTACCCTCTACCTCTACCTCTTCTCCTGTGTCTCTCCTGTCTGCCTTTTACTTTTTATTTATCTTTTTCCTAATGTATGAAAAATACGTATCCTCACCCAGCACAGTTGAACAGTACATCGATGTCCTTAATTTCCTGTGCCAACGCCCGTATACCCACTCCGTCACGAACATCAAGATTCTTCGTCAAAACACCTTTTTCGAAAGGAAGAAAAACATTATAATTTGAATGTATAACCCATAACTACAATGATAACAACAATGGCCATAGTAACCATAAAATTATGACTAATAGTAAAAATAGCAAATGATAGAAAGAGTAAGAGTAACAGAAAAACAGTATTAGGAATAGCAAGGGTACGTAAGTATATTCTGATTTTCCCTCCACCTGAATTTTAACAATAAAAAAATCTTCCTGACAACCCTTAATACCTCAAAACACGATTGCTTAAAAGACTACGAATAATATCATCAAAACCCACATCGATACAATCACACAGATGTAGTTATGGCAAAAAGAAAATAATCCCTTTACATACACGATCCTTACCTTCGATTCCCTCCAGCGTCTGTAGCTTCTCCTTATTAATGTCAACCGCCACAACCAGGCTGGCTCCCTCGCGTAGGAAAGCGAGGACAGTGGCGCGACCGATGCCTTGGGCAGGAGAAAGATAATTTTAAGAAGGATAATAAGGTGAGAAACATGGATGAAGGAAATGTAAAGCTTCGTGGGGCAAAGTGTTTCAGGGTTTATTTTTTTATTATTTATTGCGAGATGGTTGGGAGAGGGAGAGAGAGAGAGAGAGAGAGGGAGAGAGAGAGAGAGAGAGAGAGAGAGAGAGAGAGAGAGAGAGAGAGAGAGAGAGAGAGAAGAGAGAGAAGAGAGAGAGAGAGAGAGAGAGAATAGAGGGGAAGGGGGGAGGAAGAGAGAGAGAGAGAATGGAAAATATAGGGAGCAAGAAAGAGAGAGAGAGAGAGAGAGTTTTGTACTCAGTGAGATCGTTAACGGATGTTTTTTAAAAATTTTTTAAAAAACACATTTCAAAGTTTCTGTCTAAAAAATAACACATCAGAAATCTAGAACTTCATTTGTGTATAAGGTCAATAAACAAAATCCAAAATTTCCGAGCACATCACCAAAGGAAATCATAAACCTCTCACGAGAACAGACCTAAAAAAAAAAAAAAAAGAAAAAAAACCCACCATCCATTAAATAATAAATCCAGTCACCAACACCAACCATCTTTAAAAAACATCAAAACCAACGTCAAAAATTCAGGAAAAATGCCCCCTTGACAATTTTACCATATATATGTATCACCCGACGACCGTACCTTGGGCAGCAGCTGTGACTAAACATCTTTTTCCCTTCAGACGCCCGGGAGAGGATGCTGCTGGTGTCTGAGATGATGCCATGGTGGACGAAGACTGCTATCTGTCCCTAAGCATCTTGGGAGACGTCGCTGATAAGAGAGATTGCCAGAGAGTTCATTCATGGATTATTATTATTTTTATTTATTATTTTTTTCTTTTTTTTGTGTTTGATATCTTATAGTTTGATATTTTTTATGTATTCTATTGTTATGGTATTGTGGATTTTTGTTTGTCCGTTTTGTGATGAGAAGTAAATATTATGCAAATTATTTTCGTCGGTACTGAGCAACGTGTTCAGTGACCTTGTAAATGATATAGATGCCATTTAAAAGGATCAAGCGTGTGTGAGTGGATGGGTGTGTATTTGCGTACATGTATGCGTTCGTCTGCACACGCCCCCCTCATTTATCCATGAAAAAAGTTATGCATACGTTTTTTGGTATCTTTATTGAGTATGAACACTATATCTATCTATCTACCTATCTATCTATCTATATTTACACACATAAACCAGTACCGAACACTATATATATACATGTTTATATAGATTTACACACATAAACCAGGACCATAAATTTCTTTGTTTATTTCTATCCATGATATTAAAAAAAAAAAATCATGGTATTTATTGTTATCTGCATACACCTATCATTATCCTTTTGAATACAGGGATAACTTAAATAAAACAACAAAAAAATGGTCTGCGAAACATGCTTTCCATGATCTTATCTATTATAAAAATTAGGAATGCATTACAAAATTTTCTTCAAGGGGAACATATTAACTCACAGACATAAAAAAAAAAAAAAAAAAAAAAAAAACTCGCGAGGACTTTCAAATACAACTTAGAGAACTGGTGGCATGTTTATTCAGAAACTCCCCCCCCTTATTAAGTTTTGATGAAGTAATTGCATAATAGCATGCACATCACTATAAGCTGTGGAAACGCTGGGAAACCTAAAACATTTCTGTAAGTTATCCTGATGATAAGAGAACGGAGTCTATGATATAATGTAAATTGTTTAAAAATGCGTGGCGTCCTATCTTTATATTTTATCTTTTTACCTATTTATCATTATCATTATTTTTTTATTATTATTATCATTTTAATTTTATATTATATATATAATATATATTATAATATATTATATATATATATATATATATATATTTTTTTTTTTTTTTTTTTTTTTTTTTTTTTCCTGTGCGATTTACGTCCAATTCGTTTCTTCTCGCTTGATTTTAACATGTCCAACAATCTATCTATTACTTCATTATTCTTCCATCTATCATTTCTAACAAAGAGGAGATACAATTGGTAGATTTGTGATATATAGCGACAGGCTGACACTTATTGATTGCAATCATGTTACAACTAACTGGTTGGTGGTGGTAATTATGTGAAATACAACGGCGTTATTCATTTTATTCATACATCTTGCATTCAGTCAATTAATAATCAACCTCTCACGTGCTTCTCTACGTCGGTAAAAATAGAAGAAAATATGTAAAACCGGCCATGAAAAAAATATATATATTAAAAAAAAAAGAAAGAAGAAAGAGACTAGAGAGAGATGAATGAGCAGGAGGACGAGAAGGAGGAGGGAAAAAAGAAGAATATGAAGAAGGCAAAGCAAAGGAAAATATAATACTAATGAAGAGGGGAAGAAAGGGAAAATTCTACAACACATCGATGATAGAAATAAACTGTACGAGAAAAAAGAAAAGAACATGGAATAAAGAATAACAATATATATATTATATATATACATACATGAATTTATATATATATATATATATATATATATATATATATATATATATATATATGTGTGTGTGTGTGTGTGTGTGTGTGTGTGTGTGTGTGTGTGTGTACATACATACATACATCTATAAATATATATATATTATATATATTATATATATATATATATATATATAATAATAATAATAATAATATACATATATTATATATACATACATAGACAGACACACACACACACACAAACGCATATATATAATATATATATATATATATATATATATTATATATATTACATATATATATATATATATATATATATATATATATATATATATATATATATATTATATATATATATATATATGTAGCCAAACATGAATCACACCTCAAAATGACCGTCAATGAACCAAAGTCCCTCACATACCCTTCGATCTCCAAGGCTAGAGTCAACACATCATCATGCAAAGAAACAACAGCCAGTCAACGGGTCCTCTGCCGCTCGCCTGCTGTTCATATAGCCCTTTTCTCGCTCCTTCTATCGGGAGGTCCGGAGCCGGGGGTCCGGTTTCAGTTCATGTCTAGTTACCTTACAGTTGCAGCATACACATGCCCCCAGCGACCACGACTTCCCTTTTGACTTGGGGCAGCCGCGCCGATGGGGTCTTCCTCCTGGGCCTGTGGGAAGGGAAAAAAATGTAATGGAATAGGCTTGTAGGGCCGATTATAGGTCTATGTTTAGGGCGTGGGAAAGCCTGAGAAGTTAGTAGCATGTTAAGCAGGTTCGAGTCTCCTTAATTGTCCTATGGTTTCGTGTGGAAGTCATTGTTTCAGGTGTAAACGAGTTGCTATCGAGCATTGGTTTGCGTTTCAGGTCAAAAAGGGGAGAGAAAAGGAATGAAATGAGTCGAAAAAGGGATACATTCCAACCCTTATTCCGGACGGTTAGCGAAGTCTACCGTTAAGACCTCCCATCTTATTGATCGAAGGGTTCACTGTACTCGAGCCTGTCCTTGAATGTATTCCAATACCGATCTAACGCATACAATCCCAACACAATATTTCAAACACACTTTATTCCCCCGTCTAAAACCAGAAAAAAACATTCTACAAAGAAAAAACACGTTTTCTTTGACGCACACAACTGATTCCAGTAACGATGCTCCAGCCAAGCAACATTTCCAAATAGCACGGAACCCTTGCCCAACCCCAATGCAACGCACACGGACCCTCCCCTGAATTCCTCATTCCTAAATAATCCAGACGCCTTAATGCTTACAACATGCAAAATATTCCCATCTGAATGTGAAGCTAGGATGACTTGCTCTAGCAGTAATATGGTGAACCGCAATTCCCTAACTGATAACCGTGCGTACAGGAACTTCCTCTCCACACAACCGATGTCAGAAGCGTCGGGAATATTCAAGGGATAGTGTTCATGCCGAGAGTGTTATAGTTATTGCCGAACAAGTGTTACAATATTGTGATAAACACTGTAATCATTCCACTATACTGAAAATTGTTTAAATATTGATATTGGCAACTATTAGGAAAATGACATCAACTTTAGCATTATCAAAGGATAATAACACTATACTGAGTATCAGATACAATACGCAAGAGCAATACTTATAATGTCAATAACAATTACTCATCTATACGTACCGCCAATGGTAATGAATTCAATCGTAAAGTGATACAACGGGGATGCCTATGCTAAACGTACAAACTTATACCAGTAAAAACCGCTGTTGCAGTATTTAATAAATAGCAATGATAACGCGCCACACACGTGAAGGTTCATCTGCTGTTCTGTGCATTATCATGTATGCCTTTAAAAATCTGAGCCATTTTCAGACGGTTATTAATAAAGGCGTGTAGATATACATACTTACATAAATAAATACTTGCATAAATACATACATGCAAAAGCGCAAAAGTGAGTATGCATGTACTTGTTCATGTGCGTGCATGTGTGTCGGCGTGCACGTTAGAAGTTCAATCCTATCAGAATATGATTTCAGAAATCGGTGTGGGTCAGTCCAAAAGTTGGCCAAAATTTTGGACCTTTAATTATCAAATTCGTCGCCTGGTATCTCTTGTCCAGATGTTTACTGCTTGGTGATACAGAAAGTGATTTTGTTGTCAATACCTGTTTCATGATCAAGGAATCTGATGGCACTTATTTCATTATGTGTATATACATAAATGCACACATATACATGCAGACAAACATAAACACACACACACAACACACATACAATATATATATATATATATATATATATATATATATATATATACATACAATATATAGTGTAACCCAGATGTCTATTATCAAATTACTGAACATTGGGCAAATGTTATTCTATTATCATATTCTACATAACATTTATGAAATATATTGTCATATGCATACATGCAAGTAAGCATTCCATTGTTTTACCTATTTACCCATGTCTTCCTGTCACACTAGACATACCAATGCCATGTCGTCTTTCCTCTTAAACAAGAGCCATGTAATATAGTAACAATTCCCGGTCAACAAAAGTACTTATATTGACCTTGACACTTCCTTCTTCACCGATTGTCACATGCTACCTGCGTGAATTATAGCGATCCTTAGACCACTGAAGGAGACACGCGGACATCCTGCGAGGAACCAAGGAGCCGCACCTCACCAAGGACAGACACGGTCCATTATTACTCTTCAGTAAAGGAGCCACGCCATCTTGGTGGTCCACCGAAAAGCTTAACCTCGCCATCTACCATACTCTTGTGGGGCCCATCTTTCGAGCTTGCTTACACACGCACACATACACACAAATACGCACACACACACACGCACACAGATTAATATTCCGGTTCCATGCCTTTTTACTCAGTTATAAAAAAATCTCGGTAAGATGTTATAATTCGCACCACTAATCATGCGGTTCATTTATTGGGTCGAACTCAGTGACAGTCGCTGTGTGGGTAAAATGCTATGCATAGCGTATTGGTGAATTTGACATTTCACTAACGTCGTATACTTTCTGTCTCTTTTTTATGTTCTAAATTGTTTTATTTATTATCATTATTATCATCATCATCATACTTTTTTACGTTTTTTGAGGTTTTCAGTATCTTTTACATTTGGCACCAATCAGTATGGGTGCCAAAAAAACGATCATATTGCGTGCCATGCCATATGCTGGTATACCTTAGATATATTTAGCGTTTTTACTATCACCGTAGCTCTAGAGTCAACATTCTTAAACCCCTTAAGTCCTTTAAACGAGGTCAGAGTTGTGTGTAGAACGTCTTCTGTTGTGTAAGATATATTTGTCCTCTCACCTGTATGGCCTCGAGAACGGAGGTGACCTTAGTATCCGATAAGTGCGCATAATCTCGAAGATCCGATCGACGTTCAGAAAGAATTTATCTTCGAAATCAGCGTTTAGATTTGTCCTCGTCTGATACAGTCTTCTCCGCCATGAAGCTTTTGTGCCAATGGTATCTTCTACAACTGAAGCCGCCGTGACATTTTTTTTTTTGTTTGTTTGTTGGTTTCTTAGACTTTATTGAATACTCTGGTATATGTATTTTTGTAGATTGATCTGATGAAGTTTTTTTTTTTTTTGTGTTTTTCTCATCGATTTTCTGTAAAGATCTTAAAGTGTCGGTTCAATTACTTTCTTCTTGCATCCAGACATCGGTTTAGGTGATGCATTTATACAGTGTACATTACGGGTTGCTTTAACTTGCATAGCGTATGAATGTGGTTTTTGAGGTTTTCCTTTTACATTTGGCACCAATCAGCATGGGTGCCAAAAAAACGATCAGTGCCATGCCATATGCTGGTACACCTTAGATATATTTAGCGTTTTTACTATCACCGTAGCTCTAGAGTCAACATTCTTAAACCCCTTAAGTCCTTTAAACGAGGTCAGAGTTGTGTGTAGAACGTCTTCTGTTGTGTAAGACATATTTGTCCTCTCACCTGTATGGCCTCGAGAACGGAGGTGACCTTGGTATCCGATAAGTGCGCATAATCTCGAAGATCTGATCGACGTTCCGAATGAATTTATCTTCGAAATCAGCGTTTAGATTTGTCCTCGTCTGATACGGTCTTCTCCGCCAAGAAGCTTTTGTGCCAATGGTATCTTCTACATTTGAAGCCGCCGGGACATTTTTTTTTTTTTTTAGACTTTATTTACTCTGGTATATGTATTTTTTAGATTGATCTGATTTTTTTTTTTTTTTTTTTTTTTTTTCCTCATCGATAAAGCATTTATGTACGTTGTTACTGTAGATCTAACGCCATAACGTCAAACTTTTATGCAACTCAGTTCAATTACTTTCTTCTTGGGTATTTTAATTCTTGTTCCAGACATCGGTTTAATAACTTTGGTAATTATCTTTGAGTCCACATATGATGCTTTGATTTATACAGTCCAACATAACAAACAAGACCCAATTCCCGGAATCCTCGGCGATGAAATGGAAACACCATTTGAGATCTTAAAAAATTACTCGTTTAGTAAATAAATAATAGGCCTTGAATACATTTCTATCCTTAACGTTTGTGCAAATAAATTACCTGTAGAATGTCTTCCCACATCTCTGTAGTCCAATGGTGAACCTGTATGCCACACATTATCACCCACTGAACATTATGGAAGAAAATACAAGGTAAAAATGAGACCGAATGTGATAAAAGAGGAAATGCGGAGATAGTGGCCGTTGGCAGTCTTCCTCGCGTTCGAATCGGATGTTCGCTTAGGTTTTGAATTCCAAATTTCCTTCTTTCTTCTTTTATAAGGTTTTAGACGAATTTGCTTATTCTTATGATTTTCTCTTTCGGTGGAGAAATCTTATTCGCACAACCGTATGAAAATGGTTCACGTATTATCTTGCCTTGTCTATACATATCTTGATGTGTGTATTGGTACAAGATACATTTGGTTGTGTGTTGTGTGTAGGGTATTGTAGGCCTGTAATTATTATACGCATTGAGTTTGCATGTATTTTTGGTTTTGCATTTTACAATTTAATCTATGTATATTTAATCTACCTATATATGCATTTGATGAATAAACAAAGGTAGATGAGATGTTCATTAATTTTAGCGTTTATTTGCGTATTTCCCCCCATCTTGAACAACGGGTTTTCGCACTATTCTCTGTACTCCATCTCCCCCCATCTTGAACAACGGGTTTTCATCCCTGTGCGGTTTGTACTGCGAAAAATATATTGCGGAAAGTACGAAAATAATTGTACTCTGAATGCCAATGTGTTTTTCGCCCTTTTCATAAAATCTTTTCATTATGGTTCTAATTACATTTGTTTAATGAATTACATTTAGTTACTGACCTTTTTGTAAAGAACTTTCTATTTTTTTTTACTAACCTTAGTACAAAACGCTGATACAGAAAAAACACATTGATCATCTAAATAAATACACGTGTGATGTAAGCACAGCAGAAGTGCGAATTAGCCTACAGTGGCTTATTCGCACTGCCCAATTATTTCACGGAGTTGTTAATACTCAAGGGCTGTTTACAAGAAATATCTTACTTTGGTTACCCAGGAAAAGGTGATGATTCAATAGATATTTATGTATACGTGCATCCATATTAAAAAAATAATAATGTCTAATCATCTGATAGATATGCATTTACTTTAGATACCCAGGAAAAAGGTGATGACGGGGCCAGTCTGTTAAAATTGTGGGATGCCTGACCTTATAGTCAAGGGCTGTTTACAAGAAATATCTTACTTTGGTGACCCAGGAAAAGGTGATGATTCAATAGATATTTATGTATACGTGCATCCATATTAAAAAAATAATAATGTCTAATCATCTGATAGATATGCATTTATATATCTGTCTGTCCGTAACATAGGCATGTCTAGATTGATAGATATGGATTTACTTGAGATTACATGCACGTCCGTACGCAAGAAAATTCATCTTTCTCTCTCTCTCTCTTTCCCTAAATGAATCTAATAATCTCCCTCTCTCTCATTTCCTCTATGTAACAATATTTTTCTAATATTCCTCTTTCCAATTACCTTTACGAATCTACCTGTGTTTTCTATTTATATATATAAACAAAGGAAATAATGAGAGAGTGCTTATATACACCTTTTCTTCCTGATAAAGCAACGAGGTATATAACTAATGTGAGGCATTTATGAATCCTAAACTAATTGTGCGAAATACTATGACAAGTTCAAGAATATTTAAGAGCATTCTTATTGGTTTCGCTCCTGAATCTGTTCCTGATTTTCTTTTGTAATTGTATTATATGGAACTGAAATGAGGTCATGCTGGTTCTATATAAAACGCAGGAGGGTGATATGTTTATAGAATCTTGAATAAGGATAATCAGTCAACTTTCTTGTCTCATTTAAGACATTTATTTAATTTTCAGTTTTATCTCACATAAAAAATCAGCAGTAATAAAACAGAAAATAAACAAAAGAAAAGACAGTTTGATTTCATACAAATACAAATTAAGAGGTATTTTGTAATAAAAGACATGATCTTGACAATAGTATGATTATGAACATGACTGAGATGACATGGATGAACAGTAATAAAAGTACTGTGAAGTGAGCGCACAGATGGAATGAAATTAATCTAATATTTTGAAGATAAAAGTCTGACTCGAAATACGATAATTTATTGTAATATTCCGATTGTGTTTATATAAAACCCGTCACAGGCAGAATAAAAAATGGGTTCAGATTCAAACTTAACGACGGACTTAAAAGAACTTCTGTACTCTTCGTGAATCACTATAAATAATCCTTTGAACTCTGAAGAATCGTCTGGCTGCAATAACCCCGTATTTATGAGTTGCTGTTGCTGCTTTTGCTACGCCGAACTTCGCCCTTTGTTGCAAAAATCGACCTTCTGGTCACGTGTTTGATGAGGTACGTGGGCGAATTTTCTTAAGAATGTGTATTCTTATTCTTTTTATATCTCCTTTCTTGCTTTTTCTTTTCTTTTCTGCGTCTTCTCTCGTTCGCTCGTTCTTTCTCTGCCTCGGTTACTATGTCTGCCCCCCCCCCCTCTCTCTCTCTCTCTCTCTCTCTCTCTCTCTCTCTCTCTCTCTCTCTCTCTCTCTCTCTCTCTCTCTCTCTCTCTCAAGCCCTCCTCTCTTTTTCTCTTATCCTCTTCTTTTCTCATCATAGTCGCCCCTCTTCTCTTCCCCTCGCTTCTCACTTTCCTCACATGTATCACTCAAGTGTCTCGCATATTCTCTCTGTTGCGCTTGTTTCCATTCTTCTTGTTTTCTTCTCCATGCCTTATTCTTTGTGTTCTGGAAGGTCTAGATCCGTCCCAAGCCAACTGGACGAAGCCTCCCTTGTGAGCGATCAAGCCCTGTACTCTTTGATAGAAAACGGGAGAAAATGGGAAATAACTTCAGAAAAATGAGGGTATAACTAAAGAAAAATGCCGAATGTTGAAAAAGGGGGGAATTAACAAGTAAATAGTAGGAATAACGTACTTTATGGTAGAAAATGAGAGAAAATGGGAAATAACTATAGAAAATTATGGTATAACTAAAGAAAAATACCAAGTGTAGAAAAAGGGGAAATTAACTAGAAAGCAAGTGGAGAATTGCTACGAAAAAAGGTCAGTTACTATAAGTGAACTGGGAATAACTCTTAAAAATTGATACATATGCAGAAACGTAATCAAAAATAGGAAATAATAGAAAATGGGGAAACATTAAAACAAGACACACACACACAAGCACAGACACATACAATCACAATCTCACACACACACACACAAAACATTCATTCACCCACCTGCTCACGAAGGCCGCCCCCGACTCCCTGGGGCCCCTGCGCGTGGGCGGAAGGTACCACACGTCGCACACGATGGCCCATGACGTCATCATGCTCAGGATGTACTGGCCGAAGGTGTCCTGGTACCAGAAGGGGTCGCCGTAGCGGGGGTCGAACCGGATGGCGATCGGGTAGATCACGCTGTCGATCTGCCGGCGGGGGGGGGGGGGTAGATAATAATAATGATGATGGTAGTGATAATGATGATAATAATGATGAGATGATGATAATGATAATGATGTGGTGATAAAGATGATGATAATGACAATGATGAGGTGATAATGATATGATGATAATGATAGTAATGATAATCATAATAATGGTAATGATATTAATACCAATAACAAGAACAACGTTCTCGTATGGTATAACTGAAAGAAAAACTTTAGCGTTAAAAAACCGCTCATCTCCCTCCCTTCCCCACTGTCTATCAGGTGATAGGTAGCAGATATATATACATGTATATATATATTATATATATATATATATATATATATATATATATATATATATAACAAATACAACAAATGGAAATAAAAAAACACTTACCTCTAGACCGCCCTTTCACCCACACAAAACTCACCCCAAAGACCCCCTTCCATAGGAACGAACACCACAAATAAAAAGAAGACAGAAAAACTCACCACAGAGGTCCCCCTTCTATCCCCAAAAAAAACAACAAATAAAAACAAGGGCAATAAACTCACCTCAAAGGCCCCCTTCTATCAAAAAAAAATAAAATAAAAAATAAAACAAAACAACAAATAAAAACAAGGGCAAGAAACGAACCTAAAGGCCTCCTTCAATCGCAACAAACAAACAAAAACAATTGACACAAAAAACTCGAAGGCCCCCTTCTATCGCGACAAACAAACAAACAACTGACACAAAAACTCACCTCGGAAGCCCCCTTCTTGCACCAGGAGGCACACGAAGACGAGGACGTGGCCCCACACCACGTAGGGCACCGCGTCCTCCCACGTCGAGATGAGGCCCGCGACGGTTCCAGGACCGAAGGATGATCCATTGCGGAAAGTGGGCCTGCGACGTGGCAGAAGGCGGTGACGGGGATGGTACCGCCTCGTGGGAGAGGAAGCCAAGTGAAGAGGGAACAGCTGGAACAATCTGGAATACGAACAGGAGAATATATGAATCCATGTCAGTGAGAATTTTATATCATGTTATAGTGTCATACAATGCATATGCACGGTATGTACAGCACACGCAGATAGTCAGACACACACACACTCGAACCTCTAAAAACTACTACATTCGAGTGTGCATTCATGCTTGAAATCCATGAATTGTTCATAAACAAAAATATAAACGGTATTTGTTCTTTACAGGTGGCGCTTTTATATTTCTTCATTCTGCTTTATTTATAATCAGAGTAATATCTACGAAAAAAATTATGATTAGGAGAAATCTAATCTAAAATACGTTAAATACACGAATAATTCACAACCAGAAGATAGTGTGAAATGTAACGTGAATGTTTTCATAGACCGACCCGAGTCCCCAAGCCAAAATGAATGCCCGTTCTCACTACAAGCTGTGGCGCGCTCTTCAAAATGCGTGGAGCTGAAATGCGACTGCTGACAGAAAAGGAGGAAGGAAGGGGTGTTCGCGCGCTTTTTAACACCGAGGCAGAGGTATGTGGTTGCAGCGTTGAGGAAAAAACAAACGCGTGGTTTAGAAACTACCATAATCTACCAAAACGTCACTGTACCGCACTACAACTGCTCGAGTATATGCAAGTAGATTTTACTTTTTCATTATCATTATCTTTTGTACTGATTACAGATTCGTCATTGCTCCACACCATAGCTTATTGTCCTTAGAGTTCCTATTCGTTCTCTCTGCTCGGCAAACACCGGGGCAGCAGCGGAGTCCACGAATAGGGGGAAGAGACACAACTTTCGCTGGGCCATGCTTTCTGGGCGGCCCGTGAGAGCAGCTTATGAAGTCTAGCGGATCTTTATCATAGAATTAACTTAGAGGATGGGAGATGCCCGATTATTGTAAAGCCGTGATGGTACAAGGGCCCCACGGGTAAAGGGAGAGCACGGAAGGGCAGGGTTAGAGTGAGAGCGCCCACAGGGATAGAAGAGCGCGGAAGGTACAGGGGTAGAGGGAGAGCAAGGAAGGGGTTACAGGGTTAGAGGGAGAGCGCGGATGGGGCCACAGGGTTAGAGTGAGAGCGTGAAAGGGACCCACAGGGATAGAAGAGCGCGGAAGGGGTCACAGGGGTAGAGGGAGAGCGTGGAAGGGGTCACAGGGGTAGAGGGAGAGCGCGGATGGGGCCACAGGGTTAGAGTGAGAGCGTGAAAGGGACCCACAGGGATAGAAGAGCGCGGAAGGGGTCACAGGGGGAGAGCGAGGAAGGGTTACAGGGTTAGAGGGAGAGCGCGGATGGGGCCACAGGGTAGAGTGAGAGCGTGACCACAGGGATAGAAGTGCGTGGAAGGCAGGTTAGAGGAGAGCGAATGGGGCCACAGGGGTTGAGAGCGTGACCACAGCGCCAATGGATAGACGAAGGGCTTGCCCACAGCGCGGAAGGGGCTCACAGGGGTAGAGGAAGAGCGCGGAAGGGGCCCCGCTGGATAGAGCCCCGAAAAAGATACTCGATCCCCGCACAGCAATGATTAGTAGCACAAACGCTGCTGCCATCTGTGTGCCCACGAGACTCAATACCCCCATGCCCCCGGCCCGGACCCACGCGCGAAGACCCATGGACAACGACGCCGCCAAAATATTTCAACATCGGTCTCCATACCAGGGGCGCCAGCGAGACAGCTGCTCGTTCCGTATTCAGACTCGTCTTTAGAACCGAATTCCCATTTAGTCGACA